GAAAATTATATATAAAGAATTTCTAAAACACCATACAATGGTTCAAACCTTTACATAATATGAAATCAAAAAAGAAAAACCTATTACATGGCTAGGGTTTCTTCAAAACCCTAGAAAATGAGACTAGCCACTCATGGAGGAGTGGGAGGAGGTAGATGGAGAAGGAACCACCATGGGAGACATCTTTGAAGCTTCTTGTTTCTTCCTCTCAAAACCCTAGCCTCTCTCTTTAGGTCAAAACAATTTCAGAACCCTAATCCAGCCTTTTACTTGCCTTTTTATACTTCCAATCTCGTCCAAACAGGTTTAAAACGTCGGTTTGACTTTCCCAGAAAAAGTCAACGCACGTGCGGGAAAGTCAACGCACGTGCGGAAAAAGTCAACGCACATGCGGGAAAGTCAACTCTGCTCAAATTCTGTCTTTTTGCTCATTTTATGCTCCGACGATGTACAACCTAATTAACACTCAACGCACATAAAATATACAGTTTGACCAACAAGTGAAATTAAGAGATTCTAATTAACGGCCTCAATGATGTACATTTCGGCCTTAATCACATCCCCCAACTTACCACTTGCTAGTCCTCAAGCAAGTAAAATAAAATAAAATTAAACAAAATCTATCTATTTCCTCTTTCGTGGGAAAACGGTTGCATTTAGCATATGCAACAAGCCTTTAAACCACAAGGTTACCCCAAGTGGACGAGTAAAGTCTCGTGAGGGTTTCCAGAAATGATACCCACAAACATTAACATATTCATATATACTCAACAACAAATGACCACACTACTCCACCTAACAATCAACTTATGTGCCACTACAGTGTGATATTTAGACATCATGAGTCATCAAAGGCACAGTGAACAAGCATGAAGGAACTTATTGAGTCAAAACCACAATTCAGTTAATACAAAAGTAAAGTTCCCTATACTTGTGCATGCTAGTAGACAAGTCATGAGTACCCTCGGTGTAAAATGCAATCTCCATATTAGTTAACTATCCACTATAATAGCCCAGTGTAACTCATAATACATCCAACATATATAGAAAAACTAACCTGTTGCAGCCAAGATTTTCAAAAGAAGGCCGACAAATACACGAATCCAAAACAAGTATCCCAACGAACTAGGCGTCGCCGCCGTCCTGCTCATCACCTACATATATATAGAGGGGTGAGTACAAAACTCAGTGAATGGTACTAAAAATAAAGGTTTTACATGAATAAAGCCGAGGTCCTTCAAAACGAAACACACCAAAACTTTAGCAAGGCAAGTGATGAACCGTATTCATCGTCAAATATCGTAACATAGGCGAGACAAGGGATGAACCGTATTCATCAA